ATCTGTCCATAATTCATAATAGGATTGATAGTCCCCAAATACTAGAGCGTGTCCGCATCTTGGTCCCTGGGAACGTGTCAGCAAACTCGCAGGGACAGGTGGCACCGCGGCGCCGCCCGCGACTGCTGGAGCCCCCCCGCGCACGTACCGAGCGCGCTCGTCAAGCGCCCACCAACCGCGCATTCCGCATTATTGGGGACATACTTGCACAGCACAACGAGCTAGACTTATTTGCCGATGGATTAGGACATTTGTATAAAAAATTTCAAATAATTTTAAATAAATTCTAGCCATCAAACTTACGTATATTGTTTTCATAATTAATTATTATAATTGCTGTTCTTATTTTTTTATTTTTTTTATTATTATTATTGCTATTTTATTTTAATATTAATGTATTTATGGACTCAGATTGTATTTTTTATGATTTATTTTCTATGATATTATTGATGTATTGTTAATTAGGATATTGTAAAATAATTTTGCTATTACCTATATAATGACGAGGATGTGTAATACCGAATTGTTAATCTTATAAGCGTTTTGGATGTGTCATCTGTTAGCTTGTAAGATGAAATGAAATAAATAAATAAATAAATAAATAAAGGAGTGCTCCAATTTGTACCCCGGGCAGGAGAGATACGAAGTATCAGCCGGAGAGGACACCTGCGTCTCGGTCAAAAAGAGCAAGGCCGGCTTCGCCATGTCGAGATGGTAGTGGACGGCGTTTAGTTTCGAGTGAAGTCCCCTGATGTTGCAGAAATTCACGGATAGCGTGGCAGGTGTCGCCTTGGTCTTGTTGCTTAGTTTGTCCCGAGCAGTTATTGTGTTGTGCGGAATTTTGCCCCTCCCCCCAGAATACGCGGGGCAGCCTGAGCACCCACGCTCAGGAGTGGAATAGCATGGTCGTGGATGCTCAGCGAGGGATTCTCCAGGGGTACTGGTACCCTCCTGGGGTAGTTTATGATGTAATTCCGCTACCATGTTGATGGGGGGGAGGGAATTGGGCCTCCGGTCACCTGCACTCACCAGACGAAACGCGGAAGCAGATCTTCTACTTCACGTCGGTATTCTGTGAGGTCGTGGTACTAACCCGGCTCGAGGTGGCCCATCCGTAAAACAGCAAAAGCTGCTGCGTGGCTCTACCACCGTTAAATGCTCTGCATAATATATATTTTCTCTGAATGGCGGAGTAAACGCATTCAGCAGAGCAGCTGCTATTTTAAAATCAAAGATTGCGACAACCACGGTTGAAATATTCATAACGAAATAATTTGAAGTCTCTCTTAAAACGGCCATTGACAGCTTCTACTACCCACCTGTTTATAATTACACATCGTGATCTGTTGGCTTCAACAGCGGATAGCTGTAATTGGCCGTCTTCTTTAGTTTCAGGCATATGACCTATTTATCCTTTCATGCAGACTATCCATGCAGTCACGAGAACCTCTATCTAGAATAAAAACATCATTTTTTCTATTATAATCATTGAATTCTGTTTCGTTTAATAAGTCATTCATTATAGTCGCATCATTTGTCGTGGGACTATATGGACCGCGTCCTTTTGCGAAACTACTGTCAAGAGTTGCGCAACTCCACGTAAAAACGGTCAGATCATTCGTTAAATTGCTCATATGCAGTCACAAACCACAATCCAAAACAACAGCAAAGAGCTGAAAACTGAACTGAACTGTAAGACAGATAATCTTTACCTGTCAATAAATAATTGCCATATGAACAAAAAATATTGATGACGAACATCATTCTTATCATTAAACCATCGTAAACCATTATGATTTTATGCAACAATTATGCAGGTATATTATATTAGTGTTTAATTATATATAGTTGTTACGGCCTACAGCTGCCCTTGCAAAGGTCGTCCTGGCTGGAGCCCATAGCAGCTTCTTCGACGGGCAGACGTAGGTCGGCCTCAATAAGGCCACGTGGAATATGTTATCACATTAAACTATATGGAAGAAAGCTAGAAACACATAGTACTTACCATTATCCGAAGCTAACTTCGCACCAAGGCTTCGCTGCTCCCAAGCTACTCTCGTCACCTACTGTCTCGCCCGACCGCCAAGACGCTGGGAAGCTCCCTTCCGCTGCCCCCTCTCCGACACACACGTAACACCTGGTACGATCGGGCGATTGGCAAAGTCGAACGTGATTGGGTGCCCTCCTAACATAACCAAATTTGGGCATAAACAATAGTGTTATTTCTATTTCTAAATAAATAATTATCATGTCGATATTTGTGTTATTTTACAAAGGGCAACTTCTAAAAACATAAATGCGTTTAGTTTACGCATATATTACGTTTATTTATTAAAATATTTTTATTGATATTATTAATTAATCCGGAGTTCTAAAAATAGAACACTAACATAAAAATAAATGGCGTAGTTGCCTTAATATGTGGTACAAATTCTATAGCAAAACAATAAAAAAATTATGCGGTACAAAATCTGCCGTTCTCCTTTAGAATGCAATAAAATTGTAAGTATTCGCTTCGCTGTTAATAACATTAGTTATTAAAAGTATTAATACCGGCTATATCTTTCATTTGTCTGTTATTTGCAAAATTTCTCCAAGAGTCTTGTGCGTGCATGTTCTCGTGCGCTTAGTGAAGGAATTAGTTGACAGGCTACCAGTTTTCCACCACTGACACATTATACATAATGTGTCAGTAGTGGAAAAAATTTCACATTTATCACCAAGCCATGTGTGCCTCTCAACCAGCAGACCCAACATTGATGATTTTCTCTGGCAATTAGGGAAACCTAATATTGACCGGGAAACTATAATAAACCACTTTGTTCTTTAAGTACGTTGCGCATCGAAGTAATCGGTACAGCTTCTCCCAATAATATCGTAAATTTTTAGATACCGGTATTGAAAATACAGAATGCTAAGTTTTCATTGCGATGTCCCTCATTACCTTTAAGTAATGCTATCGTAGAAATAATTTTTAGTGTGATGGGCACGATAAAGAAAAAATTAAGGAACAGAATGTAACTACCTATATAATGTACTATGTACATCTTATGAATAAACTAATTGTTAAAAATTACGTTTTTTATTTATTCATAACGAAGTTTTGATATTTGGGCTATTTTAGGCTATCTGAGCTCAAATTAGGCTATATTAGGCTATACTAAATCTGTGATAAATGGCGATATCAGGTTCCAAGTTGTTGGCAACACTGGTTGATACTGGTATACATATTATACAATATACTACGGATGTGACATTGTGTGAAAAAATCGATTAATAGAAAATCGATTATTTTCTTTGTAATATTAATCGATTTAGAAAAAATAGATTTTTATTAGATGAAATAATCGATTTTTGCGGAAAAAATTCTTTTATTCGAAAAAATGCCTGCTTTCCTATAATATATTAATAAAACTACGATATTAGTATTATATTTACAATTTATCAGAATATAAATCAAATAAAATGATAAGTATAAAAAATAATCAGAACGACAATCTTCTGGTTTCAAAACTATCCTATAACTTTTAACAATAAAAAACTAAAAATAATTACTGCTACTATATACATGTCATTTAACAATTTATTAGAACCACAATAAAAAGAAACGTTAAAGTTTAGTAAACGATAGTTTTTTTTTTAAGTAAGTTTGAACAAACAAAAAATCTAAATGTTATTACACCACCACACACCACAAATGTTCAGTATCATTAACATTGGATTAGAATGAAAATAAAATAAAATAATAAATTTAAATAATCAAACCTTTTGGTCTCAAAACTAATATACAAAATAAATCTTTTTTCAAACTTGTGTAAACAAAAAAGTAAAAAAAATATTTCTATAAATTTTCATTTAAAGAGTTTAAAAACAATAATTTTACCAACACTCTTCTTCGTCTGTTTTGTAAAATACAGTTACGTTTTTACCTGACAATATTTCCCGCTTTCGAAAATAATCTTTCGGCTGGCACGGAACTGGCCATCACAAAGACGTGTTTTAGAACCAATTCGGTTAGTTTAGGGAAAGTTTCTTCAGAGCTCCATGTATTGAGGGCATCTGCCTTAAGATTTGATAGTGATGCCACAATATATAGGTCCAATTCAGTATTTTTGCCTATTGACGTGTTGGCCGCTATTATTTTTTCATTATAAAATACATCCGTCAGCCACTTTTAGGCATTTTACAAGACATTTTTGTTTAACAATTATTTAAACTTTCTAAAGAAAGAAAGAAAACCACAGAATACTTTTACTCCTAGCGGAGAAAGAAAACTGTTTGAAACATACGAAAGGCGAAACTGTTTTACATACATAGAGATACATACAGGTGGCGCCGTCTTTTGATTCATGTTAGTGAACTTACTTCGCGTTTTTTCATCTGTCGCACAGATGACGCTGTTCTTTTCATCGACTTATTCATGATATTGAACTTCTCGTTTTTACATCTATCGCACAGATTACGCTGTTTACAAAAATCGATTAAAACACGTAATTTACATAATCGATTTATTAAAAATCGATTTTTATTATCCAAAAAATCTACTTTTAAAAATCGGTTATTAAAAAAAAAAGTCGATTAATTTGAAAATCGATTATTTTTTCACATCCCTGCAATATACAGTAATCTCATAATTAGGGATGTGCAAGGGAAAAAATATATCGATATATATCGAATCTATATTTTTAAACAGTATCGATATATATCGCGTGATAAATATCAATATATCGATATATCGTCAACATTTGCATGATCGAATATCGATATTCTTATTTAAAAATATCGATATTTTTTGCCCAAGTCTACTCATAATCTGTCGTGTCGTTCTCGACTCGCATTTGCTTCATATTAGCGTTTTTTCCATATTTTTTCTAATTTGAAATATTCTTCAACAACTTCAATTTGTCTCATAGAATCTAATTAACATTTAATTTAAGTGTTTGAGATTTATAGTTCTGATCCAGAGTTTTTAGGTATAGTTTCATTTTGATATAAGTATCATGTCTGAGAAACACTTACAAACCGGTGAGTTTAAAAAGTAATTTCTGCAAGTTTAAGGTCATGTAAGATTTTAACCAAACAATTTTATTTAATCAGGTGATGAATTGCCAGCGTACGGTGGCAAAATGCGTTTATTCGCCATGAGATTTTGTCCGTATGCCGAAAGAAGTGTTTTAGTATTAAACGCTAAGAATTTACAGTATGATTTGGTATATATCAACTTGGACCAAAAGCCTGAATGGATTTTCAATTTCAGCCCCAAAGGTAAGTAATATTGCTTTTAGCCGACTTCAAAAAAGTTATGTATTCACGTTGTTTTTTAAATATGTTCACCGGTTTCTTCAATTATTTATTGTTTTATTAAATAGGTTAATCTTTAGGCTTTTTGGCCAAATTTGGAGAAGAGATAAAAATATTAAAGGCAGAAAAATAGGGAAAGAATTTTTTACAGTCTACTTAAGCAACATTGAGATTGTGCCATTAAGTAATATCACAATCAACTTCATTCCATAGGGGTAAAAAAAACCCTTTACAGGTGTACATCCCTTTTTGACCATACACCCCTAGTCTCATGCCTATTTTGCCTTAAGAAGTGGTGGATTACCACTGGTAGTTAATCAAAACTCCTTTCATAATACTAAGATTCTCTCATTTCTGTGAAGGTTTTAGGGCAAGAAAGATATAGTAATTTATAATAATTTTCTTGAAAAATTCACAATATTCTGATGAGTCATATTACAAAGTTTTTGGGATGTTTTGACAATGGTTGTTTGATTTGATTGATTGAGTCAGGCTGGTGTCTGCAACTCCACTTTTAAGTGCTTATTTCTTGCGTAGTCAGGGATGAGATTTATTCAAGGCACTTGAGCTCCTCGAGGAATGTTAGTTAACTTCTTGACGTTACAAACAAGTCGAGTCAAGGTACTTAGTGCTGTAGCTGGCAACCGCTGAACAAACAAGTAAAATGTAGGCTGTTATATCCTCAAGGCCATGAGTTTTAATGGGCCTGTCATTTGGGTTACAGCGAAGTATCCTATTACTATAATATATATATATATATATATATATATATATATATATATATATATATGCTAATGAAACTTAAATAAATATAATACACCCTTGAAAAACATAGAACAATTTAAATATATTGGGCACTTAGTGACTGCTTACTTAGTGATGGTGACATTGAAAAGCAGTGTAGTGCACTGTTAAAGCTAACAAATCTATGAGTAATTATTATCCATAGGTTTGCTTGTTGTTTGAAGATCTAGAAGATCTAGCTGATGCTCTTTAGAGCATTTTGTACATTACTCGACATTTGCAGTGTATGGATAAACTACACTCAAAAACAGTACTTACATTTCATACTACTAGAACTGTTTTAGGGCTATTTGCTGAATATTGCGTGGATTTTTACTACAAAACCATATAGTTTGTGCATACAGTACACTTAATTGTTATGCAGGGTTTGGGTTGGGCTAGCCAGGATAGCATCTGTAGGGTTCATGTTCTTCCTGATGTAATAATTTTTATTTTGTGTTTGTGTTATAATTATTAATTATTGTTATTAAATTAGTATCTAATTATATTTATTATGATTACTATTACTATTTTTAATTAATATTACTATTATTATTTATTAATTTGAAATTATTTTAGTAATAAGAAGGAACTGTAGTAGCCTCAGGGGCCAATTACTCTTCATAAAATACGACCTCACCCAGCTTTGATCCTCACCAATGCCAATAAAATTGTAAATTGCAATTTTAAGTGCTGAATTACCACATATTCGCCGATGAAGGAAAACATTGTGAGGAAACCCGCTAAAACGCATTAGGGTAGCATGATGGATACTTTCTGGGCCTCGTCAAAATTTTCAGTGTTTTAGCAGCCTTGTGTGAATTCATTATAGTAAATAGAGACTGCCTTACTCGGTTAGTTCGGCGTCAACTGCCATTGTGAGTGGATTTTCGGTTGTTTGCAGCGGCTCAAAAGATCGCTGTACAAATAAATACAAAATATTTGAAATACTAATTTCATACTTGATTATTATAATAATCAGAGATTTTTATTACAATATTTTAAAAGCACAGAATAAATAATAGTAGTACGTACTAAAAGTAAGTAGGATATAATATTTATACTTAAATATGTCTTGGACTTTATGGAGTGATATGAATGATGATATGATGATCATATGAGCTTTAAGAGTCGTGCACTTTTGGATTTTCCTAACTTCTTTCAAATTGAGGTTTGGTTTGACATAAAATTATTGGAATAAGGTTATTAGTGAAAACTTGTGTGTAATTTAAACTACTTTAAAAAAAATCTGTATAATCATGTTATATGTAATTTTTTTAATGCCATGAGGGCATGCTCAATTGGATTTACCAATAGTTTTTAATGTTACTATGATCCCTGATGGTTGAAATAAATTATTTAACTACAGAATAGTAGAATTCAATTTGTCAGTTTTTATCTATATTCTATATTAATAAATAAAATTGAAGTGTCTCTCTCTTGTATTTGCATGGCACTAAGACATGAATAACCACTTCTAAAAAAAAAATTGTCTGTATGTGTCCAAGCTAATCTTTACAAAAGGATAGAGAGCAATGCTAGGATGGATTAGGTCAGGGATGGCGAAGCAATGGTAAGTGTGCCATCGATGGGACGCGACACAATATTTTGGGCACGCCACTGATCACAAAGTTTACTTTGTAGTATTATGTATATTACGAAAGAATGCGAGTGATCCTATGCTACGGAGTGTACAGGCGCGGCGGTTATCACGAACTAAAAATTATTTTACGGCACGTCGATGGTCTCATGAAACATTTCTTTAGAAAAAGGCGCATTGGTACATAAAGATTCGCCACTCCTTGATTAGGTTATATTTTAACTAAAAACTTAGAGATTTTTTTATAAAATTGATAAATTGTTTTATTATATCTTTAATAAAAAATGGTTGTTGATAACTTATCATTGTGATAGTCTCCATTATCTAAGAATGTGATGGGCAATCTCAGATCTTCAACATATAAAGATAGACAGAACACTTTGCATATTTTAAGTAATGTCGAAACCATGATCAATTTCTTGACACACACACACACATTTCTCCTTTTTATCTTTGACAGCCTATAAAAGTCTAATGCTGGATGCATGCACTGCATCAGGCTGCTGGTTGCAAATGATTTAAAGCACATAAAATAAAATATGTGGTAGTGAATGTGTGTTCACAAAATAATTTGAGCAATGAGTATGGTTTTACTTGGTCTCGGCGTCACATAGTTTTTTTGTCTGAGCGAGCAATATCAATTGTGCATCTTATATTTAAATTTCTTTTAATCTAAATACATTTGAATAAATTTTAAGTGGCTGTCTGTATATTGAGCTGATGGCGTTATTAGTACATTAAATATGAATAACCATTATTTAAATTTTTGTCTGCCTGTTCAATCCAATTGTAATAAAACTTCACCAAAAGATAGAGAGCCAATAGTAGAGAGAGATAACCAATAGTGATCTCATCATCATCATTACAGCCCTTCACAAGTCCACTGCTGAACATAGGCCTCCCCCAAAGAATGCCACAAAGCACGGTCCTGAGCCACCTGCATCCATCGACTTCCTGCATGTCTTACCAGGTCGTCACTCCATCTCGTGGGGGGACGCCCTACACTTCGCCTACCGGTACGAGGCTGCCACTCGAGAACCTTTCTTCCCCATCGGTTGTCGGTTCTTCGAGTTATATGGCCGGCCCATTGCCACTTCAGCTTACTAATCCGTTGGGCTATGTCGGTTACTCTGGTTCTACTGCGGATATCCTCATTCCTAAGTTTATCACGCAGAGAAACTCCGAGCATAGCCCTCTCCATAGCTCGCTGAGAGACCTTGAGCTTCCTCATCCGGCCAGCAGTGAAGGACCACGTCTCAGTTCCGTATGTCATCACTGGCAACACGCACTGGGTGTACAGTCTCGTTTTCAAGGTTTGATGTATACCTGACGAGAAGATGTGCCGTAATTTCCCGAACGCTGCCCAACCGAGTTGAATCCGTCGATTGACCTCTCGGTCGAAGTTGGACTTACCTAGTCGGACTATTTGTCCCAGGTAAACATACTCGTCAACAACTTCGAGCTTAGTGTTCCCAACAACTACCGGCATAGGTGTGACATGGACATTAAACATGATCTTAGTTTTGTCCATGTTCATCTTAAGACCTATCCGTTGGGAAACACTATTGAGGTCATTGAGCATAGTGCTTAGGTCCTCCAGCGATTCTGCCATAAGGACTATATCGTTGGCAAATCGAAGGTGAGTGATGTACTCGCCATTGATGTTGATACCGTATCCTTTCCAGTCCAGAAGCTTGTAAACGTCTTCCAATGCAGCGGTGAAGAGTTTCGGGGATATGACGTCACCCTGTCTTACACCTCTCTGCAATTGGATAGGTTTCGTACTCTGGTTCTGTACTCGGATAGCTTTCGTAGTCCTACTGTACAAGCACTTCAACACTTCGATATACCGACAGTCAACTTGGCACCGCTGAAGGGACTGCAGCACCGCCCAAATTTCGACGGAATCAAAGGCTTTCTCATAGTCCACATACGCCAGACATAGTGGCAAATTGTACTCTTCGGACTTCTGTACAATTTGCCGAAGGGTATGTATGTGGTCTATGGTGCTAAAGCCCTTTCGGAAACCGGCTTGTTCGGGAGGCTGGAAGTCGTCAAGTCTATGCGCGCGAGACGATTCGTAATGACTCTCGAAAACAGCACGTAGACGCGGCTCAGAAGGGAAATCGGTCTGTAGTTCTTCAAGAGAGCGTTGTCACCTTTCTTGAAGAACAAGACCACCGCACTTCTGCTCCACGCCTCCGGTGTAATGCCACCATGGAGGACGGAATTAAAGAGCTTCTGAAGGAGATCAAGTACCGGTTTTCCACCCGCTTTCAGAAGCTCCGCTGTAATTCCATCCTCGCCTGGGGCCTTACCGTTTTTAAGGTGCTGGAGAGCCATTCTAATCTCGCTCAGACTGACGTCCGGGATATCTTCGGAATATATAGTGATCTAGCCTATGTTATAATCGAAAATCTTCAAGTTTTTTTAATAGACAGTAAATGTGTAAAATAAATAAGCGTTGATTAAATGAAAATAACAGCAATAGACCCAGGCAAACCCAAACCCAAATTGCAAGTGTTTAAATATAATTAATTTAGGCAGTTCTTAATATAAAACATCCGAAATTAAAATGAAGTATGAGTATAAAATGGGTATAATAAACTGATATCATTATCAATATTAGATAAGGAACAATGTTACCTAAAATGTAAAGTACAGAATATAAACTCATCATTGTGAATGATATTTTGTGAAACATAAATTTGTAATAACCAATTTTATATTCTTATTTATACACAATGACATTTAAAAACCATGGATATGTTATCTGCTTTACAAAATTGATGAAATAAAATATGTGTTAATTAGCATGTTTTACTTTGATGTATAATAATTACACACAATGAGTGATCTGCCTGATGCACAAATATGTTATTTTAATTAATTGCAAAAATAACGTCTATTTTTTTGCAATTACCATACTATGAATCTATGTGATTTGAAATGTTTTTCGACAATGAAAATCATAATTTTATATTTTATTCTACTACTACTACTACTATTCTAACATGTTCAAGAACGAAATAATTGACATAAAAGGAAGAATTTTGTCAGTTATTCCAATTCTATAAATAATGAAAATGCTTAGCTGAAAATATCTCACCAATATATCTCTTTATTATGTCATATAAAATACCTTCTTTTTTTAGGTACCGTGCCTGCTTTAGAATACGGACAGGGGAAAGCAATTTTTGACAGCAACATTATTATTGTTTATTTGGATGAAAAATATCCCGATGTACCTTTGCAGTCAACAGATCCACTCCGTAGAGCTGAAGATAAGATGCTTGTAGAAAAATTTGCTGGGGTATGTTAATATTGTTTTCATATAATTTATAGCAATGGAGGTACTTTGTTTCCCAGTAAAAAATAAGGTAGTGTCAAATGAGTAATGATGAAGAGATGAGCTCGCCACACTGCTTTAGTGCGTGTTGATTTCACATCTATAAAATATATTTCACTTGTGAAGAATTCCTCATGACGTTTTCCTTCACAGTTAAGCACATGCGTATATTTCACACGTTCGTCTTATTCCGTGACCGATTCATGTTATTAAAATCAGTCTGTAGCTTATTCTGCTACATGTATTTTAGTTTAGAGGTGACTAATAAAATTAAAATTATTTTTAGGCTCAATCGGCGTACTATACTGCTGCATTTAACGCTCCGGCTCTACGACCCGATATGGTAGAAACCTACCACAAAGGCCTTGAAATGTTACAAAAGGAAATCGAAAATCGCGGAACCAAGTACATACATGGCAATGAACCTGGTTTAGTGGACTACACAATCTGGCCTTTCTTAGAACGTTTCCTAGCTCTGCCATTATTAGGCAAAAATGAATTTGCAATTGAGAAGACTAAATATGAAGTTTTGGTAAGGTTTTTTTTTTGTGCAAATACCTTAGTATGTAATTGTCATTACCGAGTAGCGGCGGTGTAAAAATATCTACTACCCCATACCATACTGTGGGTGTCGTAAGAGGTGAATGTGGAAAACAAATCAGGAGATGGGCAGCATCGTCTTCCTAATAACAAACAAAATTAAAAAACTGCAGTTGCCAACCCACTTGCGAAGCGTGGCAACTATGGAAAATATTTACGTGGTAGAGCCATGCTGCAGCTGTATTAGTAGTATAGTTGTGGCATGAATGGGTTGGCTCGACCGGGGTAGGACCACGCTCTCACAGAATACCAGCGTAAAATAGCAGCTTAACACTGCTGTGTTTCGTATGGTGAGTGTAGAGAACCGGAGACTCTTTTTACTGGAAAAGAGGCATTCCATCTTAGTCCTCACGGGTGACAACGCATCTGCATTTTGAATCGCAAATGAGGATAGATGTAGATGTCTATGGGCCGCAGCAACCACTTACCCTCAGGTGGACTGTGTGCTCGTTTGTTACCCTATCCTATAAAAAGAAATCCCCCCCCCCCCCTCATTAGGCAATTTATGGGGGCGGCTTATGTTCAGCAGTGGACTTTAATAGGCTGTAACGGTAATGGTATGTAATTGTCGTTATTCATAACATTTCTTCATCATCTGCTTGCGGAAATCTACTTCGCACAAGTTAACCCGATTAGCGTTTCCCTAACATTGCTTAGAAATTCAGAAAATACTTTGAATATGTTTTTTTTGTCATTCCTGTTCCTCAGTATTTGTTGGCCTTATTCATTATTGCTATTTCATGTTTTATTCTACGTGTATGCTGTTCTACTAATGATGTGTGCACTTCAAATAAATTTATATCAATTTATCAATTATTATCTATATAACAGTTAGAGGTTTAGCCAACGACGCCATTATCGATAACGACGATTTTTTTTAAAATAATTTATTAAAATATTTACTTGTACCATATTTTTTAACCATGAAAACGAAAACGAAATTGTAACATTTGGTCTTATCATAGACAGAAACTAGTCTGTTCAAATTGCGCTGCCCTAGGTTCAGACCACTTACTACTGGCGTTTGTTATAAAACAAACAGCTTATTTAAATTGGTTAAATAATTTTATTTACCATTTTATACGTGGTAGAGTCAATGCTGCACCTATATTATTAGTATGGTTGTAGCACGAATGGGTCGGCTCGACCGGGGAAGGACCACGCTCTCACAGAATACCAGCGTAAAATAGCATCTCAATGATGCAGTGTTTCGTAGTGTAGAGCACCGGAGATCCACCCTATTTACTGGAAACGGTATTCCAACTTAGTCGTCCGGGTGACACGCATCTGCATTTTGATTCGTAGTTGAGGATAGATGTAGATGTCTATGGGCCACAGCAACCACTTACCATCAGGTAGACTGTGTGCTCGTGTGTTACCTTTAGCTGCTATTTTATGCTGGTATTCTGTGAGAGCGTGGTCTTTCCCCGGTCGAGTCGACCCATTAATGTACCAGTGATATAGCTGCAGCATAGCTCTACCACGTAAAAAGAAATACCTATAATATGATAACAAGATGTACCTAATATAAGAAATTGGAAGCCAAAGAACTTGTTCATTATTTAATTGTTGCCATAAGCCTGCTACGTAACAGTAGCCCAGTGCTGAATTACGATAGGCTTATCCCTAATTTTACGGATTCTCTCTAATTGTTACCCTTGGAATACTAGTTATAGACCGGACGCGAAGCAGTAACAATTTCGTACTACTTTAACCTCTTATTACCTGTCTCTGTCACTCCCGCGTTAATATAGTGCGTCTCGCTCGCACAGATGCAATGGCCGCCGTCCACAGGGATTGTAAACCTTTTACCGTAGACTGTAAGGTTTGTACTTGTTTGCATGTGGTTTTGGTTGGTCATTGAGTTACGACCAAAAATCCTTGGCTTCCTTGACTTAGGCCCGCCACATATATACGGAATTCCGATTCGGAATTCCGAACGCAGCAAGTCCATATAAAATCTATGACCCGCCACACACGTACGTTATTTTTCCGTACGGAATTTCTCCGATTCGAGATTCCGTATGACCGCCTGTGCGTTCGGGATCCCGAACGGAAAAAAGCCGCTCCGAACGCACGTCTTCCATAGATTTTGTACGAGTCGCAACACACATACGTAAATTCCGTACGGAATGCGCTCAGTGTTCTTCGCACGACCGAAGCGAGTAGGTGTATTTATGTATGTTTTTACATTTAATCTTGTAGGTGTATAGCTTTTCCTAACCTTTCAACTTATTTTATTTAATAATTCGTCGAAATAATTTACATACATAAATATTTAAAAAATATCTCTGGATAGATAGATCTTTTTACATAGTATTGACTATATTGCAAGCTTAGGGTGATAAGGGGATGCACCTGGTAAGAATAATACAGCAACAATGGAATCGCAATTAGAAAATCGTCGTCATTATTCGCTGGCAGAATGTCTAGACTCAATGGCTAACGTCTCTCAACTGACCCTTGTTATTCCGAACGGAAAAAAAAAACGTATGTGTGTGTTGTATTCACGGAATCCCGATTCGAGATTCCGAAACGGAATTCCGTATGTATGTGGCCGGCCTTAATTAATAATTTTTAAGTAACTAACGAATAACGAACGACATTCCATCTTGGGATGCGTTAGTGATGGCTCAGTTTTCGGACACAGTTATCTCTGTTATCTATTATTAGTTTGTTGTTTTTTGTTAGTTTTTGTTATCTTGTTTTAATTGTTATGTGGTTTTGTTAAGTTTTCTTCACTGTTTTAAAATGGAATCAGCGCCGTCTACGTCGCGTCCATTCAAGGAGTTTGATTCTCCGCGGAACAAAAAAAATGTCACACTTTAGTGTATCTCAGAGGGTAATGATTATTAACGTGTTTAAATACGTTAAAGAATCCTGGCCTGCTGATAAATGTCCTTCAAAGAAAAGAAATGAAGGACAAAACAGCCGATATCTTGGGCATTTCGAAATCGGCCATATATCGTACTTTAAGAATATACCGAAACAGACACCGAAAAATGACGAATCGAAATTAGATAGACTAGGTGATAATGTAGACAAAACTGTTATAAAATGTATATTATTATTATTATTATATTAGTATATAACTTAATCTAAAAAATATAAAGTAAAAAAAATATATTAAGTAAAGATGATGTGGATGAATTCTTTATATTTTACAGCAACCACGATCTTGTTAAAAAAGGAACAGAGGGGTTTTAAGATTTTTAAGTTACCTCTATTTAGTCAACATTTTAGTTATTACCTTGAGCTATTGATATTTCTTAGTCCACTCAAAAGGGTGAAAATTTTATAATAATTTAATAAAAAGTTAAAGCCGTCTTCAAAGAACTAAAGGGAATAATTCTTTCTATACACTATGTCTTAGCACAGACTTCTGGAAATTATTTTTAGGTCGGCTTTTACTTTCTATTAAGAGTTTAATTTTTTGACGTGGCTTCACGGTGACGTTGACTGATGTGTGTGCAGTAACCCTTAAGCAATTGTATATTCTGTTTTCTAGACAAACTATATAGAAGCAATGAAAAATGTACCAGCGGTTAAATCGTATTGCCTGGCCCCGGAAACTCATGCTAAGTATATCGAGTCGCGTGCTAAAGGAAATCCAGATTATAACATGCTGGACACAAGCGCTGTTTGTTGCATGCGCCCCAGGAAGAAGAAGGAATAAACCAATAGCTTGTCAAAATGAATAGGGCTACACTCAATATTTGAATGCAGAGAAGACCAACTAATTGCTATATTTCGTTATGTTTTTTTTAAAACAATAAATAAACATGTACTAAGGTTAGGTCAACGTAAATTCTCTAGATTGGGGTAGCCTTAAGCGCCAAGGTAATATGTATAATAAACAATTACAGTGTGTTTATTTCAATAAAGTACAATTTTATTCTTGCATTTATGTCTTATTACTGTCTTTTATTTATATTGTGAAAATGAAAAAAAAAAGAAACAAAAATGAGGGTAGGTAAACATAAAGCTACAGTTCTTTAACTCATATGAAGATGTTCTCATTAATAAATTGCAACCTTTACAAAAACTTGAATATAGTCCGAAGTATATCTATACTTTTACATAAGGTTTTTTTATTGAAGTGTCCAATGAAACGCAGGACTGCACCTACATCGGATCTTTTGTCTTGAGATATATGGTTGGCCTAAGTAGTTAATTTTTCCCGATTTCCCGTGCCATCCGCACTGAACCGGATAAAGTAAGCAAATGAAAATTCGATCTATCTAACCGTACAAAAAATACGCATTCAAAGGCTGCGTTGAAGGTAAGTACCCCGAGCGTAGTGTTTATTGAAAGTTACTTTTAACAGACGTAGAAAGTTACTCAAAATAATAATATGATGTTGATCACAGATCGTAAAAACCAGGGAGATATGCAAAGACGACGTAAAGCGTGACAATTATGAAGGAGTTGAACCACAGAACACTATTAATCCGCGGGAAATTGACCGCTGACAGATTGTCCCTCCTGTATAATTTATTGTTTGATTAGTGCTTTGAAGAGGATTTTGACATGTAAAAGTGGCGAATTGTTTGTAGTAACTAACACAAGTGCGCCGATTGTGTTATAACACAAGTGCGCCGATTGTGTTATAACAAAATCTCAAGTTTTTTTATCAGCTTAGGCAGCTTGAGAACTTCAAATACCATCAACGGTCCGCTGGGTAAGGAGAAGTTATCCCAGACCTGTAGGTACTTTTTCTAGACTTAAATATAGTAATATGAAAATTTCATTTTACAAGAGCCAATAATGGAATAACCCGCCGTTTTAAAAGTTAAAGAAAACTTACAGCCTATATACGTCCCACTGCGGAGCACAGGCCTCCTCTCATCTCTGAGAGGATTTTTAGAGCAAGGAAATTTTCGCTGCGCTGCGTAATGCGTGTTAGCGAACTTCACGCCTTCAAAATATTTTCTTATTTCTCAGACATGCAGGTTTCCTCACGATGTTTTCCTTCACCGCCGAGCACGTGGTAAATCAGCACTTAAAATTGCAATTAACAATTTCCTTGGTACCGGCGGGGATCGAACCCGGACTGCTCGTGTTCTGTAAAACTTACAGCGAACGCTAACCATCTAAGCTACCACGGCTCTCGCCGTTTAAGCCTCTACCAAAATCTGACAAAAAAAACTGATGATGCATCAACATATAAAAGGCACATCAGACTAGGCTGAACTTTAAATATTTCCACGAAATGGCTGTATGTATGGTCATGTAATAAATAAAATAAACAATTATGGACTATAGGAACATCAATGATATTTTTACTTGGTAGAGCCACGCTGCAGCTTTTAGTTGCACGAATGGGTCGGCTCAAGGGCAATAAAACGTAGTGATATATAATCAGCCTCAATTTCGAGAACCTTCGATTTAACAAAGGAAAATGAAACAGATGAGCAGCTGATAGCTAAGATATACGTAATATATTTGTAATATATCGATAACAACTCGAATTAATAAAAAACTGCGGTCGTCAACATGCCTACCAAGCGTGACAATTATAGGAAAATATAAGGCATCCAGTCTTTTTTTTTTCTTCTCTAAAGAACGCATTTCTGTCTTCCACCGTATCGGAACTGCAAGCCACAAAGGTACTCTGTGCTGCAAGCGTTTTCATAAATCTATAACAAGTATGTACTAATTTAGGGCAAGTCTTGTGTCGCCATCGCCAACTTGGAGCTAGCAATACACACTTACTAAATTAAAATCGGTTGACACGTAATTATTATAATTAAAGATTTTGTAGTATGTCTTAAGAATAATAGAAATCATAATTAAAACACTGATGTATTTATAATGTACATAAATAAGCAAGAGAGGTTATATTATGCACTGAAAACGACATTTCAAGGTTATAAAGATACTGTTGTGTCATGGTCACCGCGTTACAAGTTTCGATCGGAGCGTAAAATTTATTGATAGTCGCTATGATAACTAGTTCATTAAGTTTCGTTATGCATATAATTCTGTCTTACAGAGTGCTAGCGCCAGTCAGGCAAGTGATCGAATACGTACTGCCACATGCGTATAGCAATATGGCAAACAAAGCAGTCAAAGGAAACATAAACTTTAATGTAAAACATTTAAGAAAAGGTCAGTACATGATTTTTATATTTTTTGTTGCGTAGCCTAAGATAAAAAATACACATATTATTGATTGTCTAAAAATTATAGCTTGACAAATCGTGCGTAATAAGAAAGTGAGATTTAGGCCGACCACATAGATACGAAATTCCGTTTCGATATTCCGAACGCTGAACGCAGCAAGTTCATATAAAATCTATGACCCGTCACACACGTACCGTATTTTTTCGTTCGAAATTTTGCGGGCAAAACAGGATTCCGTATGTGTGTGGCCGATCCGTTCGGAATTCCGATTCCGTATGTATGTGGCGAGCCTAAAGGTACCTTAGGATTTCTATGTTACTGTTTTTTTTGTACCTTTGTATTGTTAATTCCTCTGCTATAATAAGGTAACACTTGTCTTCTTCTCTTCTTTATAAATAAAATTATAGAGGTTTGCAGTTGTGCGCGCATCACGGAAAAACTACTAAAATGATTTCAATTAGGTTTTCTAAGTTTTATTTCTTAGATACTTGGCTCTTATCTAAAAAAAAATATTGCGATATCTTCATCTATACAAATAAATAAAATTAGAGTGTCTGTTTCTAATGTCGAAATAATAGCTATTTACTATATATATATATACATATATATATATATATATATATATATATATATATATATATATATATATATATATAAAAGTATATACGGTACTTATAACAAAAACACGATTTTTAAAATTTTTGTGTCTATCTTTCTGTCTGTCTGTTTGTTCCGTCTAATCTCCGAAACGGCTGGACCGATTTTGACCGGACTTTAACTGGCAGATAGCTGATACTATAAGAAGTAACTTAGGCTACTTTTATTTTAGAAATATAATTAGGGCTCCGTGCAAAAAATTAAAACCTATGAAATAAAATCGTAATAATAGTAATAATTTACGCGCGGCCTAAGTTGCGGGGAACAGCTAGTTTAATATAAAATTATTAGTTTTAAGAAACAACGATTTTGTAAGCAAAGTATATACCTAAGTCGCGGGTATCAGCTAGTATTAGTAGTTGCTAGTTGTAGTTAGTAGCAGTACAATGGTTTATTTACTTAAACTTTCGCAATTTCAAACATTTGCTCAACAGTCTTGCGTCATAGTACAGTAAAATAAAAATACCCATTTTAAAGGCTAAAAATGCGTATTTTTATTTTCGAACAAAATTATCTAAGAATGCACTCCTAGAGTACACATTAGCTATGCTCATGTATTTTTTTTTATTTTTTTCTTATTTTTATCTCTTTCTTTTTTCTCTCCATCTCCATATTTGAGATTCAGATAGGGTAACCCCATGGGGTTGTTTAACAAATGTAATAATAAAAAATTAGCAAAAAAATTCAAATGAATATTTAATTTTTGGGGTAATAGTTTTTGCTGCTTTAGACCTGTTACATTACTAGATGTTCGGGGTCACAGCCCCGAGCGCCCGTAACCACGTTTTTGGTAGGGAAACACCATCATCAAGAGTTAGTTTCGCCTACTAATAAAATTATAGTATTCAAACTTTTAATAAATTAGGATAGTTACTAGTAACAGTTTATAGTAGGGATGGACTGTCAATCCTACTATCAGACGTTTTCAACTTAACTTTTAGCTATAGTATTTATTAACTTTTATGATACCTACAAAATAATTTATAACATTATATTGTAATCAAAGCTACTTTAATGTACTACTTACTTACTTGATAACTACTTTTTTGATTTTTACACTCATAAGTTGCTCTAAAACTTTACAGGTGATCCATTGCCACCATTCAATGGAAAATTGAGAATCTATAATATGCGTTATTGTCCTTACGCACAAAGGACTATCCTCGCCCTGTTTGCAAAAGACATTGATTTTGAAGTAGTCAATGTCCACACATCTGACAAACCGGAATGGCTTCCACGAAAAAGCGCTTTTGGTAAGAATTTTGCAAGTATTTTGATAAGAGTGTGGTGGGTGATATACATTGTAAAGCAAATTCATATCACGTATGTTAGAGCAAAGCATCTCAAATAAGCGTCAATGCGGCTAATAAAAGTTCTCCATTTAATCATTTAAACTGAATTCTTACAGGGAATTTAAAGTTATAAAAATCAATGACGCACAAACGGAATGAACTCGACGTAGGTAGGTACCATACGAAACCCAACATTTTGGTTTCGAATAGGTATCTAATTGGGAAGGTCAGGTCTTGTAATTGGAAAGATAACATTTTATCATCGTAAATGTTTATTTAAACATATTATACATTAACGCATGTCAGCCAGAGGGGTAGGCAGACTATGAACTTCTACTTGGCACGATTCTGAGATACCTCGCTCGCCTTCTTCACGTCAATATACCTTACCCATACATGCTCGTCGGTTAAGGGTACTGGGTGAAATCTGTATCGTCACATTTATTTATTTATTTCACGTTCCCCGCCTGATTACGATTCCCAACGTGTTAGACGAATATGGCAGTATAAGTCAGCAGGTTGGGGTGAGATTCAGCGCTAGACGGGAGGCCTGCTTCTCATCTGCGGGTTTGTCAAGCAACGCGGATGCTATAAACGATGTGGCGCGTGACGCGATGTAGTATTTTATCCCCTTTGCGGACGTATTCATTTGTGGTAAACTTGAATGCACAAAAACTAAACAACGCAAGCATTTGGCGTAGGTATCTATTCTGAGTTGACGCTCGAGACCTGAAAACAACTGATATCAGCTTTAAACAGAGGTCATTTAACCAGGCCGCCATACTGAAAAAAACGTGACGAAATACCATTTTCGAGCGCAATAAACATATCTATTTATTTTATTAAACGTGTGGTGCCGGTGGTAGAGAAACCATCACCTCATTTCGTCCCGTGGTGTCGTAAAAGGCAACAATGGGAAATGCCAAGAAAATGTTATGGCTTTCGTCAGACAGCGGTATAACCATTTAGTTCACTACAGACGAAAAACCCAGAGCAGTGTCAAATGTGCGAAACGTCTGGTAACGTCAATCCTTCCGCCAAGCGTAACTCCCTACAAACTTTTTTCCTTGTAATTCACATCTAGACTGTAGCAACAACGAACCACCTCAATATCCCACCGGTGCAAGTACCTCTTTGGGTATACACAGCAAGGAAGTGGAATAATTTGACAGCTAAGTCTTTCCATCCCATTACAATATCGGTGCCGTCAAGGCAATATTGAATAGGCTGGTTATTTTAAGACAAAGCAGTACCCTTTAATATCTCCAGCTATATAGGTATATATGGAATAGCAGTCAAGCACTGGGCTTATAAAATTATGGCTTACATAGAAAATAAAAATAATATATTAGTAAATAATGCCATAGTTTCTTGCATTCAATTAAACGTTTTATTTGTATGTTCCTAAATAATAATTTCATTTAACTTATAACAGAAATTGTTAGTCTCACTACTGAAGGCAATAAATTCAAATCTCCTTAATTCTTTTCCTCTGTCGCCTCTTATTTATTTATTTATTTATTTACGATATGGGGTAGTGGATATTCTTACATCGCCACTACACGTTACCCAATTATTTATAAGCTATCTAATAATAAAAAATCGCTATTCGAATATGTCGCCCCATTATTTACAAGAAAAATATTGATTTGTTGCTTTAGGTAAAGTGCCGTCGATAGAAATCAAAGAAGACGTATGTATCTTTGAAAGTTTGATAACCGTGGAATACTTGGACGAGGTCTATCCCCAAAGGCCTTTGTTATCTAAGGATCCAGTAACAAAGGCTTATGACAAAATAATTGTAGAAGCCTCAGGACCCGTGAGTAATTTTTCCATAAGATAGCTTTAGCTTTCACTAGTAAATTATACAAAGACAAGAAAAGAAATAATTTTAAGATATGGTGAACATAATAAAGTAATAAATGATATATTGATTAAAGGAAATGAATGATATATGAAAAAAGTAATTGAAGTTTTAATTAATATAAACATTAAGGAGATTTAAAAAAATCAATAAAGAAAAATCTAACTTTTGGAAATAATAGAAAAGAAATTACTTAACACATGAAATTAAAAGCCAAAACAGAATAAATTATTTCAGACTTTTTGTGACTCTCTCAGTCACATAGTTGTTAATTGTTGTTTTTAAAGTACTTGAATCACATTACACTAACACTTTTTGGCTTGAATGTTGAGACAAATGTATCTTTAGTTTGGGGGCGGCACACAATTGTGCATTTCATCAAAATAGGAATAAAAAGGGTTTTTAAAACCTTCAAATCATGTTGCTGTACCGATAAAGTACAATTCCTTATCCTTATTTTGAAAATTTTATCCTATTTATATTGAAATAGTTGTAGTATAATGTCCCTTAATTTTTCCAGTTGCACACAATGTTTTATAAAGCCGTTAAGAATTCCGAAACAATAACTGAAGACAATGTAATTGCTTATCATAAAGCGTTGCAGTTTATTCAAGACCATCTAAATACCAGAAGCACTAAATTCTTTGGAGGCAGTGAACCAGGCTATGCAGACTACATGATCTGGCCGTGGTTTGAAAGATTGATAGCACTTCAAAAGAAGAATGATAAATTGAAATTTGATGCAAAAGAATTCAAACTCTTGGTAAGTATTGTACGCTACTGGACTCTCCCAAAGATTACAGTAAATTCAGACATGAGTGCTTAAGCAAACCTTTTTATGACTTTATGACTAAATCACAGTTCCAAAAGATCTTCGGTTCGTAGAAATTGGTACAAGTATTTACAAATAATTGTTTAAGGTCTGAGATTAATGCCCACAAAATACTCAAATAACGTAATTAATTGTCGTGCTGTCTCTATCACTCTATGTCAAAGTGACTGTGCCACAAAGTAGCATTTGAGTATTTGGCCATTAGTGTATGAGGAACTTACCTATAAATCCATAGAAAAATGATAGCTTATTCTTATTGGGTAAAGTCTTTTCAAAGAGTATGCTATAAAATTTTTACTGATGTGGTTTTAAACTGTTCGTCCTTAATGAGAATAAATTATACAATCAAATATTTTTTGTCTGTACTACTGGTAACACATAGTTATTAAAAGGATCTGGAGAATAACGTACTAACAATGTCCACAGCTGGACATTGGCCTACCCCATAGATTGCCTCATTGGGAGAATATGTGCAAAGTTTCCACGCTTGGCAACCACATGGTGGGTTGGCAACGTCAGTTTTTTATTAACTTTAGTTGTTATGAGGTAGACGCTGGTGGCCATCTCCTGTTACATTTTCCCTCTGTCGCTTCTTTCGACAACTTCGAAGTCTTACTATATCTTACACGGCGACTTACAATTGCGACAGTACTGCAATTAACAGTTAATTAATATAATTAAAAATTGACTTGAAACTTCAGCAATCATTATTTGTAAAAGTAAAATCACATTATTAATTCTTAAATTATTAGCACTATATGCAGAGCTGGATAAAGCCATGTGGAGGTCCCTAGGCAATGCAAGTATCGGGCTCCACTCTCTTTTTCCAACTTACAATATTAACCATACCATGGAACCTTTAAGCAAAGCGTTTCTTATAAGCCTACTTTGCCTTTAGTTTAATCCAGGCCTGACTACATGTAAAACAATTTTAGAAGACTCACTACAACTGAATATTACACATTCACATTCTAGTTAAATAATAATAATTTATTTTAGATAACCAAGTGATCCATAAAATTTGTTAGTAAATATAAAACTTATAACCTATGTTAGTACCTAAATTTAAAACAGACAAAGTTAAAACAAATAGTATTTATTTAAATTTTTAATGTTTTCTTTTTCAGAATGAGTACATAAACAACATGCTCAATGATTCAGCTGTGAGCAGATATTTAGTGCCTGAAGATGTGCTATTCAAAGTGTTTGAAAGCTACAGGCTCCAGGAGGTGCCAGATTATGATTTATTAACTTTATAAAGTCATGGCAATTTTATAGTTTATTTTAAATATATTTAAACAAAATAAAAGTCTCAATAATCAGGTGGTAATTTATTTTTACTTTCAACCAAAATAATTTTCTTTGTAAGAAATATAGTCAAAATATCATTATATAAATACCTCCCTTGTATTATACTACAAATACTTATCAAAAAGTCTATTCAAACAAAACAAGTGTCAATTGATTCACTATGCTAGAAATTTCACTTGTATATATTTGTACTTCAGAAAACATGAAGAAAAAAATAATTAAGTAATAAATAGAAACCTTATAAACATAAGTAAGGATAAACTAAAAGTAGTTTTCTATCAAAACTTCTAAATTTCAAAGAAAATCAAATACGAAACATGATCCCTAAAGCTCTATATCAAATTATTGTAAAGTGAAGAATTTTAAATGAATACATGTCCAAATATTATTGAACAACACATGTCCTATTATACATTATATTTATTTAAATTATAAAGAAAATATAAACATGTCAAAAAAAATACTGTTAGCAAAATCAAAATGTCAAAATTAACTAACTTTACAATAAATCTAAAAAAAAATTGTCAAAAAAGAGAATAATCAAGACTACATCAAAATTGATCAATTGCCATTTAAATGGCGAGACAAGTCGATCTCACTTACTTGCTCTTTAATTCCAACTAACCACTCCTGAGTTTAGCAGCCACTGCTTCCAACGTGGAAGTGATTTGCTTCAAATCACAATTTTTATCCAATTTAAGATATGTGGTGTTTCTTATTTCATGTAGTTTAATCCACTGTGGCACTTCTTCTGTAAGTAATTTAATGTCTCTTTGTAGATCAGCAGTAGAGACATTAGCTTTGAAACTACTCTCCAGTTTAGATAGAACAATGTTCAGTGCCAACACATTCTTCCTTTCAGTTACAAATATATTTCTTAATGTTCTTGCAAGGTCTGGCAGCCGGCTGTATATAAAGTATTTTTGTTCATGTTCTGAGGACTTTGTCATTGCTTCCAGTGCTTTAGCTGCTTGTTTAGCCTTTACTTTCTCTAATAACGCCGATGGTAAATTACGGAGGGCTGGGTTCAGAATGGTAACTGATCCTGTTTGATTTGTTTGTGTTGAAGTGGTAGATTTTGCAGGCATCTGTTTGTCCTCATTGATACCAGTAACACTTTTCTCCTCCGCAGTAAGACCACGGGCTCTGGCTTGAGCTAATTTTTCCAATGCTCGTTCCATTCTTGTATTGCAGTTGAACAATTCTCGTGCTTTAGCAAGTACATCATGGGCGGTATTTAGTGTTTCTACATTTGGCATTTCAGGTAATTTAGCACATTCTATTTCAGGAATCTTTTCAAGTTCAAATTCTGGATGCCAACGAACTAGTTTGTTATCGGGTATTTCCATAGGTGGGTCTAGAGACAATAAATATTGTGCATGGTGTTTCTTTACCAATTGGAGCAAAGTGTCATAGAAATATCTACGCCTTTCTAAAAGAACACTTGGATTCATAATTTTTATATCATTTGGAAAGTTGGGAGATATTATTAATTCATAATTTTCCTTTTGAGATGAGCCACTGAAATTCTTTATTTTCTGTATATCATAATTGTAAAAGTCTGGTACTAAGTGTTTTATTTGGGCTAAATGTTTTTCCGAGAAATTCCTTTTAAGCATCTCTTGGATGGAGGGTTTTAGTTTGGTAAAAGTAATTTTTTCATTCCTATTATGTAACAAAGCAACAACTGTTTCCATTCCTCTGAAGAGTTCAGCAAGAAATCTATAGTGGTGAGGTAGAGGTAAACTGGTAGTAGATGTCGCCAACGCTGCATGTCTAATATAGGCTGGTACCTATGAACACAAAAACCAAAGTAAAAACGTTGAATAATTAAAATGGGTAAATAAAATTCAACCTGCCCACACAGTTGGCTTTCTATTTTTGTGACTATTTGTGTTTCTTCAACACACATGTTTTTACAAGCTAAAGATGTTACAAAAATAAGCTTACGGAACCCAAATAAACTAGTACTTGACACAATACCAAAAAATAAGGGCTTTCAAAAAAATTGCTACACAATGTGCAACACTATTTATAACAAAATATATTAAGCAATTACCATAACCATACCATAACAACATGTTTAAAATTTCATTACGATGAAGGCTGGTAGAAAAAACATTTTACACAATAAATGAGTTTTTAAATTGTAGTGACTAAGTATCTGTTGTTTTAATTAAAAATCGATGCATTAATTTATTTATTTATTTATGATGTTCTTAGTTATGTGTATAGATTAAATTTAGAAACTAATTATATTATAAAAACTTGAATATTTACATGCTGTTGAAAACAGCTAAATAGGTTTTCTCAACACATTGTGATAACACCAAGAATAAAATATTTTTGTACCTATTTACTAGCAAATAAAGAATTTGAATTTGAGTTTTAATAAATGGTACAAAAAACACCAAAACTGTTAGGGTCATCGCACACTATAACATTCCACCAACGGACCAGCATCAGATCAGCACAGACTCAACTCATGCCCCGAATGAGTCGCCAGTTCGGCGTAGGTCAGGCGTCCATTTTTCGTACGCGCGGTCATCAGGCCGACCACGGGGCTACAGCTCGCCGTCAACAATATCAGACCATACCAAGGCAGTCTCGACTGGACGACGTAAAGCCAACGCGCGAGCGAGATAACACAATTGAAAGCTCACTTTTCAAACTTCCAGCTTAAGGGTGAGGTGGTGCGGGTCTGGTGCCTTGGCATTGTAGTGTACAATGACCCTTAAGTTGCCTTCTAGATCTCAAAGTCCAAATCAGCAGTAGGGCAGCATTGTGGTCTAGTATTACAATTTCCTATCCACCACCTGATAACTGATTCTGGGTCAGCCCATTTATAGAGGAAAAGATATGATAATATAAGCACATGTAAATAGCTTTGCAAATATTTTATGAAAAATGTTTTGATTAAGATACATACTACGTGTTCATTTCATGACTGCCGTTACCTCCCGCCGCGCTCCCTCATACCGCGCCTCAAGCGTCGCCCATATAGTACCGATAGCAACGCTGAAATGTATATACGTCCGTTGTTTGAGCTCCCGTGCAATCTCTTGTTTGTTACTGTTTTTGTTGTTGTTTTTGTTACTGTTGATTTTTTGTTTCGATTGAATTTTTACGTTCGTTAATTTGTGATAAACACAGAATGTAGTGATGGCAGTGCTACAGGGATGAACGATTTTGATAAAATAACTGGTATGGAAGTTATGGATTACAAATAACTATCTACCAGTTTTTTTCGCGCCTTCGTAAATAATTTATTTAAAATATATAATAAAACTATAATGAAAATATTTTATTTTATCAGACACATTTCTATTCAGTGTCATTATTTTACTTTACTAAATAAATTATTCAATAATATGCATTTTATCTACTTGCTTGCCCTCCATTTCTCTGTACAGGACAACAAACTAAAAATCGAACTTCATACAATAATTAAAACACTTACAATAATAGTTTTGTCTACGGTACCGTCAGCTGTGACGTCATAACGGTCGGCGACGGCAAACTCGAAATGAACGCGTAGTACATACATAATACCCATTGTAATTTGTAAAATCAATGCAAATAAGTTACAATAATAAAAAACTCTGGGTATAAATAAGCAACAATTATTTACATTACCTTGTTAGGACTCTTGACTGGACTGACAACAACTTTTCGGGGTGAAATGAGAGGTCTTTGGAGTTGGGTATCAGCATCTTTTTGTGAAGACAGCAATTCATGACGGACTTTGTTTGGACTGAAATATGAAATAAATTACACTATTATGAATTCAAAGTAGTAAATATGTATGTTATATAAGAATATTATCTATGATGTCGAATGTCATTTGTCATTCTAGTGTTCACACAAATGTTCTCTCTTGTGCTTAGTGCTGTGTTTTCCCTGTTTTTCGACGACTTCTGCTATGTTTTTGGACTTTTTTGATTGCCCTTATGTTTGACCTTGGCTTTGTTTCTGGATTTGATTTGATTTGATTGTGTTACTTTGAACTTTGGCTTGCTTACTGGACTTGAGAATGAGCGATTACCATAGTGAGGCCCCCTTCGGCACCTGACTCTTTACTAGAGGCACCATCACAAATCAGCGAAAACTACTCTGACGACGGCGACTATATGAAGCGTCGGCTACACGTATCTGAGATTCTATTCATATGGAATCTGGCGGATATTGTGCACGAAAATGGAACGAATTAGTAATGTGTTCTATATAGTGAGAATGAAGGGCTGGTCCTAAAGAAACAAAAATGCGGCAAACACAAAACTAACATGAAAATTTAATACTCAAGTGGCTGCAAATCATTTGGTACTTTCATATGTGCTAAAGCATCCTGTAAGGGTAAAGCTGGAGGCAGTGGAGTTAAAATCTCACGACAACAAGGGACTTTTTATGAAAATGTAACTCTTGATATGATCCACATATGAAGACCCATATAAATAACAGAGACAACAATGTTTAAGTCCAAACACAATATGTGATTGGTACAATTACTGTAGAGAAGTAGTTGTCATATACTACCTCAAGAAACAATATCAGTTTCCTGGAAAGATTGGTGATCCTGGTAAAATTGTACAAATCGATGAGAGCAAATTTGGAAAACGCAAATACAATAAAATAAAGGTATGATTGTTTTACTTGTTTTTTTGTCATACTAAATGTCAAAAATTAATTTTATTTGTTATAGGATGTCACATCAAAGACCACTGGGTGCTTGATATGATACAAGATGGGTCTGAGGATCTCAGACTAGAGGTGTGCCCAGACAATATTAGGTCTGCTGAGGAGCTGGCCACTTATACAGAAACATGTGGCGTACCAAAATTTATACAGATTATTGGCGGGCATATGATTGCTTGGCAGAATACTGGTACACCCATAAAAAAGTAAATCACTCAGACCCAAACAATCTATTTGTGGCTGAAGATGGGACTGAATTTAGTTGCAGTGGAGAGCAGTGAAGAGGTTTTTTAGAAAACAAAAGTATAATAATTCACAAAGTTTTACAGACATTATAGTAGAGTATTTGTGGAGGCAAAATATAGAAAATAAATTAAATAATTAAAATTACATTGTTTCATGTACCGCTATCACAGCAGCATTTAGGGAAACCTGACTTTATAAGAAATTATGCGAGCAATAAAGCATGTATATAAAATAAATTAAATTATTAAACTTACATTGTTTCATTTACCACTATCATAGCAAAAATAAGGGAAACCTGACTTTGTAGATAAGATAGGTCGAATCTGTACTAAAACTGAATCAGAACACTCAGACTCATGACACATAGTCATGTTTGCCCTACCCCTAGTGTTTTTGTAAAGCCGTAGGCGCTGCTTTCCCTCCTCACCTACGGCTTTACAAGAAGACTAGAGGTAGGGCAGACAAGACTACATGGAGTCGGGGCGTGCTTATTTGGTATTAGTACAGATTCAACCTATCTTATCTATAAAGTCAGGTTGCCCTAAACTCTGTTATGAATGAAACCATGTTAATTTTGTTTTCTGAAAAACCTCTCTCTCCACTGTGATTCAATTTGTTGTGCATGAGTTCGACCTCCAGCCACAAATGAATTGTCTGGCTTAGAGTGATTAAATTCTTATGGGTGTACCTGTGATAAAAAAAAACAAATTGACATATTTGCATTTCGTTATATGCAATTTTAGTGAAATTTATTTTTATCTTAATTAATTCAAAATCCATTTTTCTTAAATCCGAAAACATTGTAAAAGGTTCTAGCTTAACCCGGACAAGCCTCCTAAAGTGATAACATAATTAATATCAAGTAGCAGATGTCTATAGCCAATCTGATTTTTATATTAATGTCATTAAAAATACCTACAAACCATTTAAGTTGTAAATTTGGTCTGTAACTAAATCTAATAAACAATGCAACTAATACAACAAACAAATAATAAAAGATGCAACCTATTATTTTAATTTGTGCATAAATGATTAATTCCTGGATGTTATGACTGAAACAACCTTATACACAATTTGTGGTATATTACATTTTTATTTTCGACTTATGTTTTTGAAAGATGTTACAAAATAAACTATGGTGATACCTATGGCACAAAATTGATGGATCCTCTAATGCTACCATGCATGTTATTTTGTTTCCATTTTTTTAAATGAGTGTCTAGATAAATGTATATTCCCCATAAATCTAGTATGTAGGCTGAGATTTAGCATGTTGATCAGATTATTTATAGTTTTAACTTTTAATTAAAAATAAACTAACCTTATAGGTACATCCACATCAAATGACTTGAATTCCTTTAGATTTCTTTTATCGCTGCTCTCTTTAAGTTGTTGAATGCCTTTGCTTAGACGATCTGCAGTTGCTTTTAACTCTGCTAACCTTGAACTACCACCTAGTTTTTTCCTGATGTCTCCTAAACTTAACTCTTTGCGGGCCGAACTAACTGATATTGATTTTGAACATAACGAAGTTTTAGAAATATTAGAAGCATTAACCTTCCTTGAAAAGGCTTCAGACTCTTTTGATGTTTTTAGGACGCCGTTTGAAGTTGGTTTTTGAAAAATGCATAAGTCTCTTTTTTCTTCTTTTAATTCTTTTTCAAGCGAGACTTTCGAAGTTTTATTGTTATTGATCACATCGTTATTTTTCTGGCTTGAAATATTACGACCACATTGAGCTGAAGTATCTAGAGTACGTTCGATGTGTGCTATTTTATTTTTTGTACCTACTAAATCCTCTGATGCAGGTCTTTTTCTACTATTAAAAAATGCTGTGATTGTTGTTTGGGCCATATTCGTTTAATTAAGTAGACTAAATAGATCTTCAATTAAGTAACCAACTATAAGATTGTATCTTTCCTTTCCCTCCAAAATGAACACAGACTAGTATGATGCAAAAAAAACATAGAATAACAGAAACATAGATAAATATATATGTAGCAAGTTTTTTTTTTATATTGTGTATATTATGGCCCTTGGTATTGTGGTTATGTCACAACTCACAATAATTCTGCCAATGTCCAGTCTTTGGTCTGTCGCACCTTGTCTTGAATGTAGCAAGTTAATGCAAAATGAAAAAAAGTTCAATTTGATTTTGACGTACAAAGACTCAAAGATGCGTAAGCGTCATATATTAGTCTGAGCAAAGATATTAAGATATTTTTATTAGGGAAATCGGGCGGGAACTTAAACGGTGGAAGATTGCTGCTCTTGTATTATTGTTTAAATCATGGTTTGAAGTGGATTTTGATATGTAAAAGTGGTGCGATTTTGTGTATTCAATGTCTGCGCATGAATTATTAATGGAAACGGTGAATCAAGTGCTCTAATGGTGATGGGATTCTAAAGATAAGGTGTCTGTATGCTTAGGCGCATTGAGATACCATCGCCAACTGTCTGAATCAGATGTCTGCTGGCTCAAGTTGCCGTCAAAATCTCCTAAGGGCTGCACAATTTGACACATCAACATATTGTGAAGCAATATACTATGAAGGATAATTATACATTGTAACTTCAGGCTCAGAAGGACTAGAACCCAGAGCCGTAAAATCAGTTATAAAAAAATATTTTCATTTTTTTTGGAGTTTACGGCCTAGACCTTTAGGCCAAGTCTTGAGTATTTTTATTCGGTTTATTATAATTTACCCAAATGTAAATTATTGTTGTACGCAGTGTTTCTATATAGTTTGTGGTTTTTTTTTTGGAGTTTATGGCCTGGCATCTAGACCTTTAGGCCAAGTCTTGAGTATTTTTATTCGGTTTATTATAATTTCCCCACTGTATTTTTGATGAATTTATATAGAGGCACGTAATAGGATCTATTTTTTAACATATCACTCAGGCGGCGGGAGGGATCTTGCACTGTCACTTGATTTTGCACTATGTCACTAATTTCACTGACAAGAATCAATCTGTCAAATGAAAAGCACTCACATGTAAATATGAAATGTTCGATATCACCAACAGAATTATTGCAGAAGGTGCAGTAACTGCTCTCCACTATGCCCAATCGAGCCAGGTGGGCCGGGACGGTGGAGTGACCAAAGCGCAGTCTATTTATAGTGGTAACAAAGTCCCGACTGGCCATTTTCAGTTTGTTATACCATGGTGCTACAGGTAGTTTTTCTTGAACAGTTCCATACCATTTACCCTTCTGTTCTTGATCTTGTTTCCAAAATTCGACCCATAAGCTATTGACCTGGTTGTCAATAGATTGATAACAGTCGGTCAAAGGTACTTTTACTATGGAGCTAACATCCAACATGTTGGTTCCATCACGTGCAATTTTATCTACTATCTCATTTCCTGTTATGCCCCTATGTGATGGAATCCACATGAAAGAGACCTGTATACCCTTTTTTGCATAACTAAATAACAATTTTTTAATATTATACAAAATATAGTTTTTTTTAAAGTCAAATCTGAGATTAGTTAAACTTTGGACCATACTTAAACTGTCTGTTAAAATTAAAAAATTATTAAAACTATTTATATGTGCAATCCTCTTCAGGGCCTCGAGGGCCGCATATACCTCTGCAGTGAAAACACTGCATTTAGGGTCCAGAAGAAAACTTTGACCAAACTTGCATTGTGGATCATAAACGGCACTGCGCACAAAGAGCTCACTTTTGCTACCATCTGTATACAAAGTATAGTAGTTATTGTCGGAAATATAACTTAATAATTCACAATTATTAAAAAAATTTTTGGTAACAATATTGGTCTCAAATATAATACAGGAATATGGGTATGTGTAGCATGTCCACTTTGATTGTTTAATTACATTTTTAAAATCTTCATTCATTTGCTGTACAATGAGAGACAAAACTGGAAAATAACCTTGTAAAAGCTCACCTCCCGAAGTCTGCTGGACCGAGCATTGTAAAGGAAAAGGTACTATTTTTTTGAGAACATTATCATTACCAGATACCAGCTTTAGTAAATATCTCTCTATTAGCAGAAATCTTCTAAGACACAGTGGCATTATTTTGGTTTCAACTTCCATAGCTCGTATGGGAGTTGAACACATAGCCCCAGAAATAATTCGCAGAGCTTTGTTTTGAATTATGTCTAGTTTTTTTACACAACTACTATTTGAGTAGGCTAAACAACTGTAGTCGAAATGGCTTCTGACTATAGATTTATATAGCATACTTAAAACTTTGGGGTCTGCACCCCAAGTCACACTAGCTAAACATCTTATAATATTTAAGCCCTTAAGAGAGTTAGTTATAATGTGATTGATGTGTAAATTAAAACAAAGTTTGTTATCAATGACAACACCCAGGAATTTATGGTTAGATACAACTGAAATTGGATGATTATTGTAGAGTATGCCATTAGAGGGAAAATCTTTACTAAAAATCATGGCCTTGCTTTTGTTAGGGTTAATCTGTAGAGTCAACTTGTCATTATAATATATGTACAATTGCTCTAAAGCATTATTTATACTATTTACAGCTCTATCTACATTATGGTCTGTACAATATATTACAAGATCATCCGCAAATTGTAAAATATTTACACCTTCTATATTTACAAAATTAAGAATTTGACTAGTGTATATGTTGTACAACAATGGAGATAATGTAGCCCCCTGCATTGTACCTTTGGAGACCCTTCTGGGACCATGGAGAATATTATTATGCCTTATATACAAAGTTCTATCTATTAAAAAATTAAATAACCAATGGCAAAGTATGCCTGGTATACCAATGTCAGAAAGAACTTGAACCAAAATGCCAGGATCTACATTATCAAACGCACCTTCAATATCCAGAAAAACACAAACACTGGACTTATTATTATTATTGGCATATTTCAGATCTGACAAGAGAGAGATGAAGCTGTCAGCACAACTTCTGCCTCTCCGGAAGCCATATTGAACATGTGGAATGATGTTGTTCGCCTCTACATAACACTCAAGACGCATCTTTATCATGTTTTCATTAAGCTTTCCAACACAAGATGACAAAGATATAGGACGATATGAATTAGGATCTTCAGGTGGCTTGTCAAGCTTAAGTAGAGGGATTACACACTGTGTTTTCCAAGATTCAGGAATTTTTTTTAAGTGCCAAAGAGCATTAAGATTAGCTAATAGTTTCTTTTGTACGGACTGATTTAGGTTTTTGATCAAAATGTATGGACAATTATCTAAACCAGGGGTTGTGTTTCGTCTGGATTGTAAACTTGTACAAAACTCACTCCGAGTAAAGGGTTCTATGAGGAAACTGGACTTCTGAAGACTATTATTAATTTGAAAATAACTTTCTAGATTATCAATAACCCTACATCCATTTCGAGATAATTTGTCTAAAAGAGGGACTACAAATTCGTCTTTATATGTTCTATTATTGCATTTTATTCGTTTAAATAACTTGATTTATTTCCAAATAATACTAACAGGTGTAGTTCTGTTAAAAGTATTACAGATGTTAGCCCAACCATTGCGTTTATGTTCTGAAATAGTCTTTTTCTTAACAGCATTAAGTCTTTTGTAATTAATGTAATTATCAATGGTTGGATCTCTTCTGTACAGTTTTAAAGCTTCATAAGTTTCAATAACACTGTTCACATGTGTCACTCCACCAAGGTGCTGGAGGTTTGCAACGATAGTTGTTTGCTTTGACAAACTTTGGCACAGTATCTCTCCTAAGTGTATCAAGCCTTTCAATAAATTCATCATATGACTGTAATGGATTCTCATTATTAACTTCAAAATTAGAAAAAGCAGTTATAGACAGCTCATTGTATTTTGTCCAGTCTGTCTTGTTGTATAAGAATTTTTCAATGGGAGGATTAATTTGGTATCTATCAACTGACAATGAAACACGAGTAAGCGTAGGAAAATGATAGCTCCCCATACAATCATCATGCACCCACCATTCGCATAGTGGAGTGATTGAAGCACTACAAAAGCTGACATCAATAGCCGATGGATTTCGGTTAGGATAATTAATAGTAGTGAAGCTACCATTGTTGAGGACACATAGATCAAATTCATCAATTAAATCGTATAACTGATGACCCCGACTTTTCGTGGTCATACACCCAAATGCCACATGGTGAGTGTTGAAATCTCCAGCCACATATATTGGCTTAGGCAAATCTCTAATTATATCACGCAGTTTACTTATTCTGAAGTTACCATTCGATGGAGGGCAGTATACACATAAAATCGTTAATTGTTTACCACTTACATATAACAATAATGCCACAGTCTGAATGTCTTGGTAAAATCTGGTTTGAATAATATTATATTTAAAATACGGTTTGATCAAAATTGCTACTCCACCATGCTCATTTTGGGCATTATGATAGTGGAAATTATATCCCGAAATGTTAAAATGCTGAGTATCTTTCAGCCAAGTTTCATTGAGTAGACAGATATCAACATTTTGCTCATCTAAAAATTTAGACAATAAGGATTTTTTCCTATGTATACTTTGAATATTGTACTGAGCTATACATAACTGCTGTATGTTCTGTACTGTACTGTCCATTATTGTGACAGATTTTTTAAAAGTAAGTCTTTAATGAACAGTGTAGTCACAGGTTCATTATCTGGTTTATTACCTAATTCGACTAAAGTTTGGACCATTGCCATCAAAATATTCTTATTGTTTGCAATTTGAGCCTTAAGTTGAGTTTGGTTCAAGTTGGGTTCAGGCACTGTTTTATTTACATTATTTACAATTTTTACATTTTTATTTAATTTAAGTACATTTTGGTTTATTGATGGTAGGGTCTTAACATTGCTGCTCGACTGTGCAGGTAAAGACGGAAAATCA